TATGTATAAAAATATTCTTTGTAATGTTCATTTAAATCTATGATTAATATTATAGGCATCGTATTTGTTTCCGTCACTGTATTTGTGTGTGTTTTGATTGATGCTCTGGCAAATTATGAGAAAATATCAAGACCAATAACGTACTTCGAAATGAATATCGTAACGCTGTGGTGTTGCCACGGTGAAGTGACTGTATTAGGAGATAACATGGTACTTTTTTTGTTATTGTCCAGTAATTGTCCTCTGTCAGAATTTTTATATTACAATACACAAATCAATCATTTAAATGAATAAATGGAACTAGTCATTAACCTAAGAGATATTAGACTACATACATAGATGAAAAGCAGAGACCCGTAGGGGAAAAAAGCACTCTGGTATTACGTTTTTTGTTGTTGTTGTTCTTGCTCAACACAGACATGTCTTTATAAACTAGCACTGTGCGTAATCTTCTTTAGCAAGTTTCAACAAGCCCTTTAAGTTAAAAATGTGAAAACTGAGATGCAAGGACATCGGAGCTTGATCAGCTTAAATTAATATATCTCTTCAGGTAAACAAATACAACCCGCAACTAAGCATTTGCTACTCTTTAATTCAATTGCAAGCATGCAACAGCATAAAACTAGAAGGACTTAGATGAGACGACTGGGTATTTAGATGATCTGGTATTTAATGCGACAGCCAGCGATAAACAGCGATCGGAAAAATCTTTGAAGCATCTCTCTCACTCCAGCACAATCCAGTTCCCGTTCCGTTCCGTAAACGCAATAGTATCTTAAATAAAACACAGCTATGTACATTACAGGGAATAAATATACTTACATGCGCAGACGACGTACACAATCCTGCAACGTCCCTGCAAGAGGCCACATGCAGATTGAAAACAGCGCTGGTGAATGACAATGAAATGTGGCGCGTAGCTGTGACGGTGTTTTCGACGCGCTCTGATGACGTCGCATTTCGCAGGAAACCGCAATGTGAGCTTAAAAGCAGCGGCCCTTCATGATTGTACATTTAATGTAAAACTTCACTGTTACATATTGTAATTGCAACTATGTCTGCCTTTGAGAATTGTTAATATTGTTTGTTCAATGCCTATTTTGTATGTACAATTGTTTATTTACTATTAAAAATATATATATAAAAGTGAGCTTAAAAGCATGATCGGTTATTAATGACATGAAATAGCTATTTGTGTAATGCATGCCTTGACACTATTTTGTAAAATATTCATAATATTTAAAAAAATTTATGTATTTATTCATTTTTACAGCCCTTGTTTTGATCCATACCAAGTGAAATCTTTGGACGATTATGAATAATGATGAATGAATAATATAATATAAGTGTAATAAAGTGTAAAAATGTTAAATAAATAAATAACCACAAGATTCAAAAGATTGAACCAACTAACTAAATATATATATTTGATTAATAAATAATAAATGAATTTGAAATCAATTTAAATAAATACATCCAATTTGGTTTTGAAAAACAAAACATTTAGTTTAAAAAAAATTAGATGCAATTAGAAGTTTAAATAAATAACTACATATTTTTTTACATAAATATACATTTTGAAATATATTTTGAAATAAATACATCTTGATTTAAATACATAATACATCTATAAAGCTGCCTTTTAAATGGTAGGACGGGGTACATTGCAAGTGAATGAGCAGAACCCTCTGCTCTGGAGGTGTATATCCAGATGGAGTTCTTTTGTCTGATTTGGTGAGCAAAGCTAACCAGCCATTTATAAAGGTGTACATGACAGACTCAGTTATTACTTAATAGACCCACCCGTACAGCAGGTTTCGTTGGCAGGTTGAACTTCCTCAGCTGGCAAAGGCAGTACAACCCATACTAGACCTGACACTCACACTGAACTGAAGTGCACAAGCAGTCTTGCATTTCAAGCCTCATTTGTTCTTTAATTGTTAAGTGCCTGATAAAATCACTAGGGTGAAGGTCAGTGACATGACCCACAGAGAGCAACAACTACTGTTACTAATCCCATTCACAATTTATATGGCTGCTAAATTATTTACGCGCTGGCACCTCGTGCCCACATCTTTTTGATGTACTTGAATTATTCCCCTCCAACTCTGATAATGACTGTCACTGGTTCAGAAAAGCCATATCTCACTGAGAGGCCACCAAAAGGTTAAAAAAATATATCCTCACACAGACAGAACCGTTGAGTCAATAAATCAATTTATTTAAAAGAATGTTACATTTTATAATGCTATGACCAAACATTTTGCTTTTACATGATGTCAGTTTCAGATTTCTGTTTCAAAACTTCTTCCAGGTATCCGGTTTATCTTGCTTTTTTTTGTTTAATTTGCAGTATGTGCCCCATTGCTTATTTCAGTTTATACTACACCTCAGAGTCACTTTATAAATGTATTTGTGCCTTATTTTTTTGAAAAGGTTACTCAAAAACTCACACCGCTGAAAATACTGTACACAGAGATATTTGTGGTTGAGTTTCATATTCAAATAAATTAAAGTATCAGTCAATAGAGAAAGACAACCAGAGCAAACGAACGGAGAGAATAAGAGTAAAGAATGAGAGAGGGGGATACACACAGACAAAGGTAAAAGTCTCATCTTAAAGTCTATGACAAACTATCTGACAAGAAAGAAGAGAGATTTGAACCGTATGCTTATGCAAAAGCTGCATGAATCTGTGAAATCCCATGATAACCAGCATAACGGTTATATAAAACAGCTGTGGTAATCCAACACAAGCAAATCCGCTGATCGTTCTGTTCATAATCACCCGCTCACTCAGTTTGTCTAAGAATCCAGGTTCAATACAAGTTAAATATTTTTGATTTGCCCTTTTGTTTTCCCCCCTCATTTTTATTTCAAAAAAGAAGAAAAAAGCTAAATCAAAGTTTACGTGGGGCCAATTTTGGGAGGATTTCATGCAGAAATATGAAACTTGGATTTATTAAAAAAAAAAAACAACAACAACAGTATTTTGGTCAAACTTGTGGTATTTGTGCTGAGAAGTTGTTTGTGTCAATCATTTCAGGGTTTAGAAATTGTCATAGCTTCAAAACAACAGAAAATTATGTGATTTGACAATAAAATTTTGTTTGTGTCTTATGTCTGTACTATTAAAACAGTATTTTAATGTTTACTTCAATTGCTTCCATTACAAGTGCCTCACTGTAACCCAATTTCATATTTTTTATACTTTTGGTGGTAATCGTCTTTATGGCAAAAGTGCTGTCAACTGAGCTCATCTTGTATTAAAACCAAAATATCCCTTTAAAGTCAATGAATGCGATGACAGAGAAACATAATGGAACAGTGCAGGACAGAAATGGCATGCTGTCAGTCTTTAACACACATCACACATTTAAAAAGTGCAAAATATGTCATGACTGGTCTGGAGTGACAGGTTTGTATGCGCCTGCGCTACAATAAGTAACACTGAAAAAAAGTCAAAGGATAAACACACTCACATGTGGTTTGATGCAGACCGCTTCCTGTGAAGTCAGAGCCACCTACTGCCGGATGAAGGCATGGCATCCTGAAACTCATAAACTAAGCAGCCCAATATCCACACATATCTAACACTGCTGGCTTTCCAATTCAGTGCTTCACATTTATAACACTGTTAACACAACTCAAGTCATATATGAGCAGAGCGAACACCCACACAGCACTGTTACAGATGATCAGTGGGCAGGTGTTCTACAGCCATGGCCAGACCCACACAGAATCTCTGCAGATTCACAACACACATAATTCACAAGTTTATCATATTCCCCAGCCACTTGTTGTTCACTTTAAAAACATTGTACAAATAATGTCTATCATACATTTAGCTACTAGTAAAGTTACCCTCAGCAGTGTTTGGGTCATTGACATGCAAGAGCGCCCATCAAAAAAGATAGTTTTCCATTTTTAAAAACAAACTTTTTATATATTAATGTTGGTTTAATATGGTATTGAACACCATGTATGTCAGTGGTTCGCAAGAAGAGGTCTGGGGCCCACCTTCACAAACTTCTAACGTGGCCTCAGGATGACTTAAATTATTTCATTTATAGTTCTATTAAAATAATCTTAGTAAAAAATATTTTATTTTTATTTTATTAATATTTATTTATAATATTTTTTCCCCCTTTAAGTCCACAGAGTTCTTGAAACTTTTGGAATCACAAAAACAACTGTGGCTAATTCATTTAATATACGGACTCTCAATTAATAAGAGTTTGAAAACTAGCAGCTTTGTAATAATTACAGCAAAGCACATCAACAGCAATTTAATAATAATACTAGTAATACTAGCATATACTAGTAAAACTAATACTAGGGACCTTCAAATACTGTGTCGGAAAGGTAAAAAGTCTTTCACGAGACATGGCGCTATTTTAAAATAAATCAATCAATCAAATGTTTTAAAAAGTTTTATATATTTCTTCGAAAGTGAAAAGTATTATTTTTTACAAATATTATGAATTCTCATTGTTTAGGAAGCAGTAGCACCACATGCCATTTTACAACCTGAACAAAACCCCAAAAATGATTTTAAATCAGAATGCATTTTTAACATATTTTGAATAAATAGAATTTTAAAAAGTGCATCACGTCATTGACCAATTGTAGCACATTTTACCAGCAGAAATTTCCAATAAAATCAGCACAGAAATTCCATCTGGGCCTGGCAATGGCTAATGCGATCAAATACTGCTTTGGAGAATAAAAGACAGATGAGAGCACACACAAAAAAATTAAATGAAAAACCTCAGTTCAGCTAAAGGGCTGAAAATCTGTACAAGCCTATTACCAACACAGTGGCAATAGTGAGGTAAGAGACAAATTAGTGTGGAAAAGCATGGAAAGTATTGATCTGTCTCTCTTGCCCTTGTTTCTACTCGCTGGAAAAGGCTTGTTTTCTTTCCCTCTCTCACTCTGATTGTCCAAGTAGAAAATAAAGTAATGGTTTTTGCTTTTTTGTATATTCTTTTTGTTGAATTGATACATTCTGAAAGAGCATCCCTGCCCTCACAGGTGCATGTGTTAGTGTCAGGATGATGCATTAGTCAGACCGCCGACCTTTCCATGTCTTTAAATTGACACACTCCGCAGAAGCACAGCTGTCTCTCAGTTGTCTGCATCTGAAGACTGCGTCTTGTGACCAGTCACATGACATGAATGTGTTCATCAGATATCACTTCACCATGTCTGTCCACTGGAGCATCACAGTCTTTCAGTGTCAGTGTCAGTACGTCCAACATTAATTCTGTCCAGTCCAGTGAAATGATGGCGTAAGTCTCAAAGTCTCTTGTAGTTCCATATTTTGATCGTTGTACTGTGGTTGTGTCATTTCCTGCTTCGTATCTTCCTATTTCAGTAAGTGTGTATCAGTAGTGGAGTACATGTGAGCATATGGGACTGGTTTGAAATGTTTTCGGAGTCTCTGTATGCAGCTTTTAGTGTAAGTGTGTGTGTATCTGAGAATTCAAGAGGAGATGATCTCTTCGTTCATGTGCCTCCATCCCTTCTGTGTCTCAACAGTTGGAAGATATTCTGTCAAAGAGAGATGGGAGCACAACACACATTATGGATAGACATTAATGTCCACAATTCAAACTGGAGGCAGGCAGAGCCTTACCTTACCGCACATACCATCTTTACTGCAGTTCTTATTGTCCTTGTCCGTGGCCTCCTCTTCAACCTGAAAAAAATATAATAAATCAATAAAAGCAAAAAGAGCAAGCAGACTCTCACTCAGACCTGAAGTACCCACCTCTTTTCTCCATTTGAGCTCACAAAAGACTCTCTCGAAGCACTCGTGCATGTAGTTGAACTAGAAAGGGAAAGACATTTTTAGCGCCAGGGCTCAATGTTTAAATATGTAAAATTATGAATGTTTAAAATGGAAAGATTTAAAAATATATGCAAATGATAAACTTTCATGTGCATGATGCAAGATCACATGGAACTCATTCGGGACTCACATATGGAGTGAAGATTTTGACCCAGCGAGGTTTCTTCTCGCCTCGCGCATACTCAAAACAGAAAGCCATTCCCTCTTCATCCGTGTCCCATCTCTGCATCTCTGACCATTCAAAAGCTATAACCTGATTCTGTAACGACAGAATGGGCAAATCATTTAGAAATGTAAAATTATCATCTGAACTGTTTTTCAATTTTATTAAAGTAAGAAGCATCAACAACATTACTACAATCATTACACCTAATAAGCAACTTTTTACTCCATCAAAGTAAACACATTCACCTCTAGAATGCCATCCTCTGTGCACGCATGGAGTTTAAAGTGGCGGATGCTTATGGCCGTAACGACGTGACCTTTCCTACGCGAGTCACAGGAGCAGTGCGGGAAAGTGATCTCATTGTAGCCCTCACAAGTCCTCAGAATACTTAAATACTGCAGAGGGAGAGGGTACAGGAAGCACTTGCATTAGGATTCTGTCACTTTTCAGTTAGAGACGTACTGCACAATGTGTTATGATATCCAATACAATTTATTAATACGCTACTGTTAAAAAGTTTGGGGTTGGTAAGACATTTTAATGTTTTTGAAAAAGTCTCTCATGCTCACCAAGACTGCATTTTTAAAATAAAAAATGCAGTAAAATCAGTAATACTGTCAAAAAAGATGACCATTTAAAATAACTTTTTTGTATATTAAATTTATTTAAAAATATTTTATTCCTGTGATGCAAAGCTGAATTTTCAGCATTACTCCAGTCTTCAGTATCTCATGATCCTTCAGAAATCATTCTAATATGCCGATTTAACATTTCTTATTATTATGAGTGTTAAAAAAAGTTGTTGCTTAATATCTTTTGTGGAAACCATGTCCAAAAGCACAGAATTTATGCGAATTAGAAATATTTTATATCAAATGTCTTTACTGTCACTTTAGACCATTTAATGCAACCGTGATTAATAAAAAGATACATTTCTCAACAACAACAAAAAACTTGCTGATCGCATACTTTTGAACGGTGGTTTATATTTACATTACATGTGGGCAGTATTAAAATTATACACTACATGTATAATTGTATACACTAAATTAAACACTAAATGTATTAAGAGAGCGCTAGACGATTACAAAAGTGAACAAAATGTAAAACAGGAAATGAGCATTAACAATTAAATATCCAAATGAAAATAATAATAATAATAATTAAAATACCATATTGTCAGGGTCTAGACTTTGACATGTCAATAATACACCCACAACAATAGGTGGCGCCAAATACGCATAAAACGAGTGTGCCATGAAATACGTAATGTAATGCGTGTTGTAAAGATCGTGAGTAAAAACAAAAGCAGCAGAAAACCTTACAGCTGCATGAGTTAGCCTGATGGGACCAAACTCACTTTGTGATTTTAAAACGTAAGACAGTACCCAGATTTGAAGACTACAGTAAGATTTAACTTCTACTGTTAATAAGATTTTGGTAGGCTACTATTAGATGGATAGCCTAAATGTCCTAGTTCAGATGGGCTACCTGTTTTTTTTTTTTTTATGGCAGATCAAAAAGTGTATATTTTTTTTAATGTGATTGTTGGTACATTTTACCTGTTTTTACCATACTTTCGAAACAAAAATTAAAATAGGAAAAATATGCAATATGAAAATAATTAAAGACAAAATGTGTTTAACTGAGAAAAAACAAGATTTGGTTTTTAAAAAGCCTTTTTCCAAAAGGTATATCTGGAAAAGGGGGGGGCGTCTTATAATCAGGGTCATCTTATATTCAGGCCAATACGGTAATCTAATCGAACAATAATATATGCTGATAACCTATATATCATGTATCCTTTTCCTTCCCCCAAGCCTCTTCAGAGGAAAAATTCACAGAAAATTTTAAATTCAGTCATTTACTCACTTTAATGTAATTCCAAATTTCCTATTTTTTTTCTATGGAACCAAAAAAGTAATCCACACGACCACTCATGTTCTGTATTTAAAAAGTTTTCTAAATCCATACGATAGATTCATGTGATAAACAGACCATAATTTAAGTTAACATTCACTCTCATATGTCATAATGCTGTAATACCTATTAATACCTGCTATATTTGATATTTAATTTAAGATTCAAAACTTTCCTTTTGTTTTCCAAAGAAAACATGACAGCACACAGGTTTGGAAGGACATGATGGTATGTAAATGACAGAGTTTTAATTTTTTGATGAACTATGCCTTTAACCCCCAGACCTCCCCTACTTCCTATAACTGTGAATCTGCATTGTTTGGAGACTGACCATGGTCATTTTCCTCTGTTCAGTGAGCTTTTGGAGCTGGTAGGACTTCTCTCCCACTTTGATGAATCCCTTTTTCACATCATCCAGAGCCTGAGAGAGGACACAAGTAAACATACAGCAGTACAGATTGAAAGCACACTGCCACAAACACACATTTGCTTGAAAACACACACGTATGCAGACCTGATGAAAGCAATAGTTGATGGCCAGCTCATTGTCGTTGAGCAGAATCTCTTCTTCCGTGGTGAAGAGCCACTTGTGAAGCGCGAGGCAGGTGCCTGGGATGGCAGATGTATAGTTCTGCACATAGAGCTTATGTGGGAACTCATTAGGGGCCAGCTTGCGTGCTAAGAGATAGAGAGAGACGGAGATATAGAGGTAGATAAGCAGTAAGAAACAGGGACAACGAGAAAGTGTAAAAGATGAAGAGTATTTATAGGAAGACTTTATTATGTACTTTATTCGTCATTATATATTTAGATTTAATATACTGTATAGTTTTAAGGAAAATTTATACTTTTATTCAGCAAGGAGGTGCATTAATTTAACCAAATATCACAGTAAATAATTTACATGGTTTCAAAAGATTTCTAATTCAAATAAATGCAGTTTGTTGAACTTTTTATTCAAAGAAGCCTGAAAAAAATGGATCACGTTTTCCACAAAGAAATATTAGGCAGCACATCAGTTTTCAACATAGATAAAAAATAATAAATGTTCTTGAGCACCAAATCAGCATATTAGAATGATTTCTGAAGGATCATGTGACACTGAAGACTGGAGTAATGATGCTGAAAATTCAGCTTTGATATAACAAAAAAAAAAAAGAAATAAATTGTAAAAAAAAAAAAAAAGTAGCCTTGTAGATTATTAGAGACTTCTTTTACAAACTTTAAGGAAATCTTACCGACAACTTTTGAGCAATCATGTATATATGAAAAATACAACGCATTCATGTTAGGAGAACATACGTTTGTATCCACAAATATTGAGCTCACTTCGGTAACAAGACTCTGCTACTTAAGCACACGCGTTGACACATACAGGTTAAACATATTGAAAGCTGCTCTATTAAATTTTAAATAAAATGCTAAATACACAGCACCCACAAACTATACTATACACAAACTAACTGATGGGATAATTTGGGGGGCAATTACAAATTCTACTACAGCAATTGTGTGAGACACATCAAATAAAAATTAAATGTGGATGGGGCTATAAAGATTTGTTAGCATGAATTACTGCCCCACACACACACACACACACACACACACACACGAAAACCACACATGCACATAAGGGTCGTGCACATTTTGCCTTCATTAAGTGACTGGATAAGAAGATTAGTAAACAAAGAGGCTTGTATAATTCAACAGCCCGTGAGCTCTCAAACCCCACACATACAGAGTACAGACAAGAGAAAGTGAAGTACTCCTGTGTCATGTGTATTTGATTTAAATACATGCAAGTAAAAAAAAAAATCTATAAAAACTGCCTCAGAATAAAAAGGTAATTGTGAAATAGATTTTAAAAGAAGAACCATTTAAATTCTGAGAAATAAAAGGTAGCAATTGTGAAAAATTGGTTTCCATAAAACTCCTAGTCATTATATATATAAAAAAATAACAAAAACTATAAAACATACCCAATTAATTTCACTTAGTGACAGAAGCAGTTCTACTAGGGGTAAAATTTAATATCATGACTTAGGATGCATTTAAAAATATGAATATTAAATGGATTGTTCACCCCAAAATGAAAATTCAGTCATCATTTACTCACCCTCTAATTGTTCCAAAGCTCTATTAATTTCTTTCTTCTGCTGAACACAAAAGAAGATATTTTGAAGAATGTGTGTAACCAAACAGTTCCTGGTCCCCACTGACTTCAGCAGGATGAAATAATAATAGTATGGAGGTAAACGGGACCAGACACTATTTGGTTACCAAAATACTTCAAAATATCTTCCTCTGTGTTCAGCAGAAGAAAGTAAGTAATACAGGTTTGGAACAACTAGACGGTGAGTAAATGATGACAGAATTTACATTTTGGGGGAAACAATCCCTTTAAATGCGGTACAATGTGCTCTTTAAAAAAATATTAACAATCAGATTGGAATCAGCTGATTATGGCATTAAAATATTTGTATTAACCAAAATTAAGAAATCTGAACCACTACACCACTTGTTATTACTAAACACAGGCATAAAAGACTGTCATACAGGAAAAAGAAGCAAACTCTTACCAAAGGAGTGGTTAATGACTTCAAACAGAGCAAAATAACTTGCAGTAATGCTGTCCATCCCAATTTTTGTAACAACAGCCTGAAAAAGACAGGTGGAAGAATGCAATGTATGAAACTGTTGCATTTTAAATAAAATGTTGCAGGATTAAATGCTGTACCTGGTAGACCTGGTCTGTTGTGCAATTCTTTCGCACCCGAACCGTAACTGTAGTTTTGTCTGGCATGGCTATCCTTAGCTCCACATCAGAAACACCATTATAATTCTAGGAGGAATGAGAGAGAGACCTAAAAATACAGTCCAAACAGACAGAGCAGCGCTTCAGGCTGCTTGTCCACCGTGTACTTGAGAAACACCCTGACAGGTACAGCCTCACACTTACAGCAGAGCAATGAAACATGCAAATGGGTATACAAATAACATCATGACTGCCACATTTTCAAATGCTGCTTTTCTTACTGGTTAAACACAATTTCATAGAATCCATTTAATTTTAACCAAATGTAACCAGATAGATATTAAACCAGGTCCATCTGTTTTGGAAAGACATAATATACAGCTTTCGAGCCCGGAAATTTCATTTTATTAAATTTTTGTTTCAGATTTCATGCCATTTCATTTTCATACTTCAATGTCTTTTTCTTTCTTTTTACAAAGTTCTATTATTGCCTGCAGCTTGCTACTTTTTTTTTTACAAAAATAGAATGTAATAAAATATACATAGCAATATATTAAAGTAATTAAATTCCATAACCCCATAGTTTTTCATGTTTTACATCCTATATCTTATTACCAATGAATCTGTAATTACAGTTATTTATGTATGTGTGCACATAAAATATACATTGCATGTATGTACTGTTGTTGCAAGTTGTTGGCTCCCTTGCAAGTGTGCTTAAGTCTCCTACTGGGTCTTGGCTTCGCTTTAAGGGTAACAATCAACTGTTTCTCTGTGTTTCCCATTTAAATACATTACATTTTTACACTGTAATACATAAACAGTTTGCATTCAAGATGAACATAACAGTTGAACTAAATTGAGCTGAATAGTCTTTAGTTGAATGAATTGTGATGTATGATATTTTCTCTGTGGCTGCACATCAGTTTGTCTTCTTTACTACCGTGTGTTAAAGGGTTAGTTCATCCAAAAATGGAGATTAGCAGACGAATCCAGTCGGAGTTATATTAAAAATTGTCTTTGATCTTTCAAGCTGCTTCATGGCACTTAGCGGGTGTTGCATGCATCAGTCCAAAAGCACTTAATTAAAATGCGCCCATCCATAAAAAAAAAAAAAAGGGTCTCCCACGGCTCCGGGGGGGGAACAAAGGCACTCTGTAGCGAATCGATGCGTTTTTGCTAGAAAAATATCCATATTCAAAACGTAATAATCACTTAAATGTAGCTTGCACTCACTGTTGTACACTGGAAGTAGTTCCGGGCAGATGACGTATGGAGGTCGGCTTTGCGCATGCGCCGCTCAGAAGCGATGAACGCGGAAGCGCAGGGGAGAGATCAACACAAAACAACGGTCTCGAATTAGAAGTACAAAACGAGGATTTGTAAAGATGAATGTCGGAGGATTTCGATATAAGCCAAGAGGAGACTGGTTTTCCTATGCTGAAGTAAGGAAACTTTGCTTCCTTTGCTCTCGTTAACAAACGTTGGTTTTCACAAGACTCACCGGCGCATGCGCAAGGCTGAACTCATACGTCATCCTCCCGGAGCTGCATCCAGTGTACAACAGTGAGCGCAAGCTAGATTAAAGTGATTATTATGTTTTGAATATGGATATTTTTCTTACAAAAATGCATCGATTCACTACAGAAGGCCTTTGTTTACCCCCGGAGTTGTGGGAGACACTTTTTTTATGGATGGGCGCATTTTAATTAAGTGCTTTTGGACTGATGCATGCAACACCCACTGAGTGCCATGAAACAGCTTGAAAGATCAAAGACAAATTTTAATATAACTCCGACTGGAATCGTCTGAAAGAAGAAAGTCATATACACCTAGGATGACTTGGGGGTGAGTAATTTATGGGCTAATTTTCATTTTTAGGTGAACTAACCCTTTAAAGGCACATTTTCATTGCTAACTGACCCATCAAACTTTGTCTTTGATGGGTCTTTGTGACTTGTGACATTCTTTGATTGAATCAATCATTTTTTGAGTCAAGTGAGAATGCAATGTTGTAAGCGTGGACCTTTTTTGTTTACATGTGCAGTTATAATCAAGCTAAAGCAGGTCTACAGTCTCCTTCTCTTTGTCCAAGTACATTTACTTGTACTCATTTAGCTGTCTTTAGTGTGTGCTGATTATATTGAGGCTTTAAAATTCTTAAGTTATGCTCATTTGTGAAAATCATGATGAAGAAAACGTGTAAGAATCATAAACTTTTGTTGGTCACTGCTTATTTTCTGTAATAATCCAAAAGTCAATGGAAAAATCCTATTGTTTTTTTTTTTTGAGGGAACCAGGGTGATGCTAACTTCTGGGTTGGCCTACAAAAAATAACCACTGCAGCGCTCTGTTAGCCCGTTAGTCAATAATGGCACAGATAAATGGAATAGAATAAAGCAGGGCATGAAGCATTTTTATCATCCTAATATGCTTAAAATCAGGCCTGGCCACCCTGTCTCAGAGGACAAACCCTGCATGCCCAGACAGAGTAGTCATGTGATTACTGAGGATAACTGCAACAGACATTGCCCATGGTGCACTGATACTTCCTGTTTCTGCTTGCAATCACTCTTTGAGCGCAACCAAAACATACCAAACAGCCCTGCCATCCTTCATACTACTTTTTTTAAGATCAGATGACCCTAATGGCAATCTTTGGATAGATCTGTAGATAAATATTAGTAGGAAAGGCACTGTTATCCTATTATACATGTGATGCGTTACATATACAGTTGGGGTGTCTTGATTAGGGTTGGGTACCGAACTCGGTACTTTCAAGGGTACCGACCGAATTGCGTCGGTACTACAGAGTACCGATTCACGTTAAATAAATTGGTGCCAAATTTCGGTACCTGAGAACGCATCTGGGTGCATACGCTACAGAGAGAGAAAGAGAGACCCTGTGACGTGATGTCACCCCTGCAACTCGTTCAAACAACACACAGGGCAAGCCGAAATGTTGTGAAGTGTGGTTACATTTCTAGGGCCATATGGTTTCTGCGAAAACGCAGACGGGATCGTGGAGTCCATTCATAAAAACATAATTTACTCTATAGCACGGAATGTCACGGAATTCGTCAATTTTAGATGAATAAATCAAAAGTAGCCACTGCCACTTAATTCGAATCGCGATATAAACTAGTGTCTGTGAATATTAAAATGCAAAAAGATGGTTTAAATATGAATCTACATGTTCCGCTTACCTCTGTATGTATGAATGGCGGAAACGCGGTTTTGTTTACTACACAAATACTGAAGCACGCGTGACGCTCGCGGTGATTTTCGGCCTCTGCGTCTCACTATATGACGGCATGAAGTCAAAAACTTAATTTCCAGAGCTGCTGAGAGAGTCACTTCGCGAGAATTTTACCATTTCATTTGAGAAAACTAGCATCATCATACTGTATACACACAGAAACTTGATGGCAACCTGTCAAAATAAAAGTACAGTTTAACATGTAACAGAAATATATTACTCTTGTATTACTTTTGTAAAGTATAATGTACATCTTGAAATAATAAATTTATCAAATTTAAATAAAACAATTAAATGATAAAAAAATAAATATTACAACCAGATTAATCACTTCACACAATTGTTATTCCATGTATTAATTTCAACAGTAAACCTCAGTTTGTTTGCCAAAAAAATAAAAGGGTTTTATTTTCATTTGATTTAAAATAAATGTTTAATGCCTTCATTTGATTTTCAGAAAAATTAAAACAAGAAGAAAAAGTAAAAAGTAAAGTTTGTAGGGCCCTATTGTTCAAAATGTTGAAATTGAGACTTTTGGACTTATTTTTTCACTGAAATAAATGTTTTTGTAATTACACAGAGTAAAGTACCGAAAAAAGGTACCGCTAGGTACCGGAACCGAAAAAAAGGTACCGATACCGGTTAAAATATGAACGGTACCCAACCCTAGTCTTCATACACCTGTATTGATGATAACAGTGATATTTAAAAAAATATTGATACCATGTCAAAAGTACACGTATGATAATATCATAAATAATATGGTGCTAGTAATTATCTGGTTGACACTCCAACATAGTAGGTGGCAGTATTGCAGTTTAATGCCTGTTGTCACCCATTAAAACAGAAAAAAGACAATGAAGCAGCATGTAGCTACTTCTGTCACACAAAATCACAGGCAATGACAGAAGAAAGCAAACATAGAAGTTTCTTTGATTATGTAAAAAAAATATCAACATTGTTCTTTTTGTACTCTTTATACGGTTTATGGTTACAAACTCTCTCTCTGCTTCACTACACTCATATTATAGGTGTGATTACTTTTCCCAAAATATTAAAATAATATCATTATTGCGAATACTTTTGCCTTTGATAGCCTAATCGTTTAATGAATATCTGATATCTTGACAGAGTAATATACACAAAACCTTACCTCATCAGACTCAGACAAAAACTCCTGCATGATGTCACTCTCTCCGATTACCCGAACAGAACACACTGGTGAGATCAAGAGGGAAAGGCAGAGAAACACAGAGAGAGAATGTTGGAAACATCTGTAAACAGCTATTTTCTAGATTTTCATCTCACGGCCCCTTCCTTTGATGTGTTCTCTTACCTTTCTCCAAGTACTCCTCCAGCCCTCGTCTGCGAGCGTCTAGCTGTTGCTCAGACAGGGAGAAAGGCCATTTCCCCGGCAGCTTGGGAAACGCAAAGTTGGCAAATTCCCTCTTCAGATTCTGATGCAAGATGACAAACTCACGATAACGCTTTGAGCACAACTGCCTGCCTGCCATGTACACGTTGTAGACCTAACACAAACACGGAATGTTGTCAAAACTAACGCTGAAATCATCTGGAGAAAAAGTATCAAACCAAACAGAAGCATAAGTGGTCAGAGCAGATAGAACACTCACTACAAACTTCTCTCCATTCTGTTCCACATGTTTGTAGGTGGGCACGGAGATGGGCACGGCCTGCTTGTCGCTGTAGTCATAGCAGGACTGAGATAAGCCATCGTCCCCGGGATCAAGGCTGTCCGTCTCTGGCTGAGGAACCGACAGGACGGCCAAGACTAACTCTTTCTCTCCTGCTCGGATTAGATCTACCACCTGCTTATGAGTGGCCCCTTCCACATTCACCCCATTTCTGCAGATGGAAGGAAAGAAGGATCTGGTTACAGAATTAAACTTGTACTCACAGCCAATTACAGTGTGACGTTAAACGGTTAATGCTATAAGTCTGGTTTCCATTCAATCTTAGAGGGTTAATGTCAGATCAGATATCTCCTAATCTTGAACCACTACTTTGGTGGAGTTCCTGGAGCTCCTATTTTCTGGTCTAATCTTTTCAGGGCTCCACAATAAGGATGGCCCGCTGGCCCATGGCCATGTGTGAGCATGTTTTGGGCCAGTTGACAGAACAGATACTTGCCCTTTCAAGCCAGTGGTGTGATTCCACTTAAAATTTTACATTTATTGATCCTGTACAAGCCTTTTTTGCCTTGCAGATTGAAATGTTTGGTTTTCTTGCTGCAATGTTATTTATCTAGCTTGTTAACATACAGGTGCATCTCAATAAATTAGAATGTCGTAGAAAAGTTCATTTATTTCAGTAATTCAACTCAAATTGTGAAACTCGAGTATTAAATAAATTCAATGCACACAGACTGAAGTAGTTTAAGTCTTTGGTTCTTTTAATTGTGATGATTTTGGCTCACATTTAACAAAAACCCACCAATTCACTATGTCAACAAATTAGAATATGGTGGCATGCCAATCAGCTAATCAACTCAAAACACCTGCAAAGGTTTTCTGAGCCTTCAAAAAGGTCTCTCAGTTTGGTTCACTAGGCTACACAATCATGGGGAAGACTGCTGATCTGACAGTTGTCCAGGAGACAAATCATTGACACCCTTCACAAGGAGGGTAAGCCACAAACACTCATTGCCAAAGAAGCTGGCTGTTCACAGAGTGCTGTATCCAAGCATGTTAACAGAAAGTTGAGTGGAAGAAAAAGATGCACAACCAACTGAGAGAACCGCAGCCTTATGAGGATTGTCAAACAAAATCTATTAAAGAATTTGAGTGACCTTCACAAGGAATGGACTGAGGCTGGGATCAAGGCATCAAGAGCCACCACACACAGACGTGTCAAGCAATTTGGCTACAGTCATCGTATTCCTCTTAAGCCACTCCTGAACCACAGACAACGTCAGAGGCGTCTTACCTGTGCTAAGGAGAAGAAGAACTGGACTGTTGCCCAGTGGTTCAAAGTCCTCTTTTCAGATGAGAGCAAGTTTTGTATTTCATTTGGAAACCAAGTTCCTAGAGTCTGGAGGAAGGGTGGAGAAGCTCATAGCCCAAGTTGCTTGAAGTCCAGTGTTAAGTTTCCACAGTCTGTGATGATTTTGGGTGCAATGTCATCTGCTGGTGTTGGTCCATTGTGTTTTTTGAAAACCAACGTCACTGCAACCGTTTACCAAGACATTTTGGAGCAGGTCATGCTTCCTTCTGCTGACCAGCTTTTTGAAGATGCTGATTTAATTTTCCAGCAGGATTTGGCACCTGCCCACACTGCCAAAAGCACCAAAAGATGGTTAAATGACCATGGTGTTGGTGTGCTTGACTGGCCAGCAAACTCACCAGACCTGAACCCCATAGAGAATCTATGGGGTATTGTCAAGAGGAAAATGAGAAACAAGAGACCAAAAAATGCAGATGAGCTGAAGGCCACTGTCAAAGAAACCTGGGCTTCCATACCACCTCAGCAGTGCCACAAACTGATCACCTCCATGCCATGCCGAACTGAGGCAGTAATTAAAGCAAAAGGAGCCCCTACCAAGTATTGAGTACACGTACAGTAAATGAACATACTTTCCAGAAGGCCAACAATTCACCAATTTTTTTTTTTATTGGTCTTATGAAGTACTCTAATTTGTTGACATAGTGAATTGGTGGGTTTTTGTTAAATGTGAGCCAAAATCGTCACAATTAAAAGAACCAAAGACTTAAACTACTTCAGTCTGTGTGCATTGAATTTATTTAATACACGAGTTTCACAATTTGAGTTGAATTACTGAAATAAATGAACTTTTCCACGACATTCTAATTTATTGAGATGCACCTGTAGATGTTTTTTTTTCTTTCCAAACATGCAAAAATTACCAGTGATAATTTTGAAAGCATCAAAATTCAAAGCTGAATCAACTAAACACTCATTCTTCCTCCTTACTGTACATAAAAGAGTGGTAAATATCATGCCACTGAATCATAGTTTTGTGTTGCCCATGGAAGCATTTTGACCGTGGCTCCAACCTACAATGTGTCCTCACAAACCATCTCCCTCTTTTTGACACTCCATTAAACACAAGAGACAGAGCAGGATGACCTGCTTCCAGACAAGCTATGCCCTCCATTATATATTTGACATGACAATCTACAGTACATTTGCCCATTTATAAAACGTTAACAGGGGAGCACAGAGAAGGAACTGAGCGATTTAAAGTGTTGGGTATCAATACAGGCTTCCAGATTAAATTCCAATTCAAAAACACTCGATTTGAGCCTGATTCGGGTATTTTTGAATGGGAATTTTTTTGCTCACCGAATTTTTGCAGGCGAAATGCAGTCATTTTAACAGAAATCCAAACAATTGGGAATTCCGTGTGAGGTCTAAAGATTTCCCCATGCAAATTTCTCAACACGTTCAGGTTGGTCACACAGATTCGCCACATTTACCAACAGAAAGCTGCTTGGTTTGAAAAAGACTTCTATGTGAGTTGTTCTTCCATCGCTACTCTCCTCAACAGACAATGGACCTATTTTGCCCACAAAATTTTGTTAAAAATTTCACTGATATGACTGCACCTCAATGCTTTAAATTATACAGAACAGAGTTTCTAACTGATTCCAAGGGGTAACTTGTCATTCTAAACTATTGAATAAAAGAACTGGCTTATAAAAGTCATTCATTTTGGGAGTCAGGCTGGTCAAGATGTATCTTTATTGATTCACTAAAAAGAGTGACAAGAGTCTTTGCTTGTGAATCAGCTGCATTGGTCATGTTGTATGTTTGATTATGCATATTAGTACACAAGGAAGACTCAATATATATGTTGTTTGCCAATATTTTGTGGCTCACAGTCGTTTTGTTGCAACCCATTAAATGCAGATGGCAAACTATATACATTTCAAAACTATGAATTAAAAATTTTTTACCAAGACGACCTAAACTGTGCAGTTGCATAAATTAGATCAGCAGAAGGCAGGGAAATCTGCAGCACTGTAACTTTTCATGCAGCCACTGAAAATAAGCATAGTGTAAAGGTTTGCTCTTTAGACTTTAAAAATTGATATCAGGATTGATCAAACGAAGACATCAATTAATGAAAAAAATTATATTTTTAACCAGCCCTTTCAGTTTAGGGGGCTCGTCTCTGAGGGTGCTTTGCAACACGTTGCATTTCATTTAAACTGTGCAGGTAGAATGTTTTTAGGGACACCTGCAAAACAGAAAGAGTTGGTGATTTAAGACAGATGAGCACAGCTCTGCCCTCCTCTCTGTCCTGAGTTTACACTGACTGATGCTGAGCTGTCGCCTTCAGCACCATGGCAACCAATGCCAGCATCAGTGAGGTGCCCTGTGAATATTAACATGCAACCGGAACCACTCCAGTAAGATTCGAGACACAATAACATCAACAAGTAATAAATCGTAACCCAAATATAACCCAGACGTTCCTCCTAATATATATCCCCTAATGTAGTCCACAGACAAGTCTGCGGTTACATAATCATGCTGCAAATGTTTGATATCACCATGGTTATAAAAAGGACGTGCCGATCATTCAGAAGGTGTGTGCTATTGTTTACACAATTTTCCAATGCGGTTTATTTCGATTTTGACCCAGTATCGCTCAGAACAGTGCAGTCAGCTACACCAAGATGAGAGGGAATGAGAGAGCTTGTCTGTTCATGCTGCTGTATGTGACCTGAATCTGCAATGAAGACAAATGCGTCCAAACACAAACCTCCTTTATCTAGTGGAAGTGAAGCAGCCATTCACGCAGACACATACACCGATGCATATGACAGGCAGAGACACTGTGTGCAAAGAGATGTTAAAGAGATGTTAAACGGATAGTTCAGCCGGAAATGAAAAAGTGTGTCATCATTTACTCATCCTCATGTTGTTCCAAACGTATATGACTTACAGAATATGACTTACTTATGGAATGTAACAGAAGATGTTAGACAAAATGTAACAGTCTCTACTCCCATTCAAGGCATCTTTTTTTTCTCCATATAATGAAAGCAAATTGATTGAGGATGCCATTCTGGCTAGGATCTCCTTTTGTTGTCCACGAAAGTTGGGTTTGGAACAACATGAGGGTTGGTAGATGATGACATACATTTTATTTTTGGGTAACTATCTCTTTAAGATCAGGGAGGCTGAAATGGCAGGCTGCATTTGTGAAAAAGTCAGTTCTGTCAGCAAATAGATGTCCTTGAAATTATGAAGTCAGCTTCTAAAAAAATAGATATTTCCAAAAACCTAAAGGATATGGGATAATTGTAATACTAGATGTCTGAATGACAACCTGGGATGTGCTTAGAATATCAAATCCTGTTGTAAAGGTGATTTTTGTATAGTTGTATTTTGTATTTAATCTGTATTTATGTTATCTGTATGCACCCAAGGGTCTGAGAGTAACGCGATTTCAATTCTCTGTGTGTATGTCCTGTACATGTGGAAGAATTGACAATAAAGCAGACTTGAACTTGAACTAAAGAAGTGCATTCTGCAGTCCAGGACATGACAAGAAGCTGTATTACATCTGTATGCCATTTTTACAATAAATCGCATTTTTCGTGACTAATAAGATGATATGCAGTGCTGCAGTGACAAGGCTGGCTAACTTTCAGCTTCTTACTCCAATATCCATCAACTCACTTATTAGCCACGTTAGCAGTTGCACTGGATTACAGCGTCTTTTCTCTCTTCAGACGCCTTTAAATGCCTTAAAAACACGGTTGACTTTCGCCTCTGGTGTTTAAGACCAAATCTGTCCGCTTTCTGTCTAACAAGGGATGATGGTGAAGGCGGGCAGCGCTGTTAAGCGCGTCTTGATGTAGTCCATAGAACATTTACATATAAACTTACACTTCAAGAATACGGTCGCCCTTTGAGATTCCGGCTCGGTCTGCCGCACCGCCCGGTAACACGGCGCTGACGTGCTGCAGCGGGGCGTAAAGTTCGCCGTTGATGCTCCTCAGTTGCCCTCCTTCGCTTACTTGCCCGCGGACGTTAAAGCCATAGCCCGAGTCCGACTTGACGATGCGGACCAACCGAGGCCCGGAGGTGACCGTGGTCGCTACGAGGCCGTCGGCGCACGTTCCCGAGCTCATGCCGGAGCCGTTGCGAGCCGCCGAGTGAAGCGTGGAAGGGCCAGCGGAGCGAGTGCCGTCTCCTTCAACAACATCTGCCATCTTTATTTGAAGAAATCCTGCCTCCACAGCGGGCTCGGGGGCCGAAGTGCTACATGAGCTTATTGGCTGGGCGGAGTGCGTCAGACTCCAGAAGGGAAAGACTGACGCCAAACCGCCCCCATCACGAGACACTGGCTGTGTTCGGAATGGCACACTAGCGTACTGCTTACTGCCCACTACACAGTGCATACTGCCTACTACTCTGAACATTAATTCAGCACAGCTGTCGAGGCTGTTACCTTACAAGCAGAGGCGGACAGTAACTAAGTATATTTACTTGAGTATTGTACTTAAGTACACTTTGAGTATTGGTACTTGAGTATAATTTTTTCTGGGAACTTATGACTTTAACTTCACTACATTTGAAAGACAAATATTGTACTTTTCACTCCACTACATTTATATCAAGGTCCTCGAAGTAGAAAGTCGTTACTGTGTAGCAGCTTTGAAAGACAGTGGGTGATTTTTCTTCTTCTCTAAAACTTGACTTTCTTTTTTTCAGACAGTTTATCAGTAATCACTCTTGTAGGGCTACATGAAGTGATTTCTCAGCCTTTTTTTTTTAACACTGAGCAGTTGCAAATGTGATATTTATTTACAACAATTCAATAATATGACGTTAATATTGTGGTAGGCCTATATATTAGACACAATATTGTCTGATTTTGCTAAATTGTGTACGTGAAAATATTACCTATAAAGCCACAGAAGAACTGTTGTGCGTCTCCTAATAAAACACAAAAGGTGTTGGACTTGAAGCAGCACTGCACAGACTGTTCTGTGTGTGACATCAAAGTACCACGAGAGCGATTAGACAGCATTTTTTAAAAATAGTTTTGATGTCAAATAAGTCTTACGGTTTTGCTTTTTTGTTAAAGCAGTGTTGCTGTTGTAAAAGTTATACAGCTACAGTTGTGTTGCTGGGTTTTAAAGCAGGTTTTGATTTGTCTTTGTTCCTTATCACTCTGTATTTACAGGATTTCCCTGTCCACTCTGTTCAAATGTGAATGAATGGCTGCACATAGATGTGTCCAGAGCTGTGTGAGATCACTACCATCCTGCTTTTGTGGGGGTGGGTAGGGGTGTTAAATAATTATTTGTATTTTTAGTTTTTTCCCTCTAGGGTTTTTAACATTCTAAAAGCTCTTTATTCCAAAGATACTAAAAGCTAGTCAGTGTATTCAGCAGGAGTAATGTATTCTAAGTTGCTTCAGAAGTATTGCAAGTACTACAACAATAAAACAGTGCATTGACATAAAAAA